TAAACTTTATTAAAAAAAATATATTGATACAGAGTGGTTAAAAGAAGTGAATTATTGTTAGATATAGAATTTAAAATTTTAAAAATTAATTTCTGTTCTGTTACATGATTTTGCTTTGACTTAACTTATTTTTGTTCACTTTATTACAATGAACAAGTAATGTCTTGCCCCTGTCCATCATACATTTCCTGTTAATAGTAGAGTCATGCCGGCCATCTATCTAACTCCAGTTCGGAGAAAATTTTTGAATTGAAATAATGTTACTTCTAAACCAAACCAGAAGTTCGTATATAGTTAGTCAGAGCCTCCTGCCCCTAAGTTTTCCATATCTAGTCTCAACTTTCATCTATCTAACTCCATTCTTGAGATTAAGGAAGGACAGACAGGTAGATGCCAGTGGAAATTTTTAAAATATTGTTACAAGAACATTTTTAAATTTGTTCTTTAAGTAATCATTATAAATTTATATTACTCTTGTTTAAATATGTAAGTGTCAAAATTGAATATTCTGTGTAGACTTTCAGTTGAACCTGTCTATCTCAAAACTTTTTCCTGCATTTTCAGCCTAAATTCATTATATTTTCTATGTTTATGTCAAATAATTTTCTCCCAGAACTTCTATCTCAAATTATGGACTGAAGTATCAATTACAAATTCAAAGCTTGGCAACTGCATTTCCATGGTATAAATTGTAGTTGTGAAACATCTCTTGCAATATAGTACATACTGTAGTTGCAATTAAAACTGCTTTTCTCTCATTGGCTATGAGTTTGGCTTGCATCTTATTGAAGAAAGTCAGGCATCAGAAACTATTAGCAAACTATTTCTGTTAAGGTATGTCAAAAATGTTTTATTTATACCTATATTAGGTACAAATAAAATATTATACAGTATATCATACTTACCATTGTATTAACAAAATACCATATCTCCAATCAATGTTTACTTTGTACTGTGTTGAATAGCTATTTATTTATTTAGTTATTGCTATTCAAATACTCTTAAGCAAATTTTGAATATTTTACACGCAACAATTGAAAGCTTGCCTGGAATAACATTGAATGTCAGTTTTTAACTCTTGAGAAAAAGGCTAAAAATATTTCCAGCACATACATTAGATATTTCTGAAATAAAAACTGCAATATAATAATTATACAGTACCAGTGTAGTGCTGACAGTTTCATCTGCTAAAACTGAATACGGTAGAGCGTTGATTATCCAAATCAATTTGGGACTGGGGTTGTTCGGAAAGTCGATATTTCGGATAACTAATTATGTACGAAAAAATATATTAATTTATCCCATGTTGAAAATTTTATCCGTTGCATGTCGCTTCGTGTTGAATTTTTGTCGATGTTAAGCTTAACGAAGACTATTGTATTGTTAAAAATTATTTTTTACTTTGTACTTTGGCTATGTCTTTAAGGAAAGCAAAATGGTAGTGGAAGACCACTGGATGTCAGGAGTTAACATTCAATGTTTTTCCATAATCAGCATGGTACCTTTTAAAAATAAAAGAGAAACAACGATTTTTTAAGTACAAAACTGAAAATATTAAGATCGAAAGTATGGTCGAAAGTGTTTGTTTTCTATTAAATATTTAGTACTGAACTGTTAAGGTTTTTGAGTGTTAATTTATATGCGTTCCAGTATTCATGTAAGGTTTTTTAATTTAAGTGAAAATATTTTATTTCACAGCTATATTTTGTAGAAAAATCTCTCTGACTTCAATGACTTGTAGAAACTTGCTTAGTCCTCTCTTAGATATGTGAACATACTGACCAAATCTTTTTTTTTTTTTATTAGCAGTGGTTTATCGTAAGCAGGAGTGAGGTGAGTCTGCTGAAATCTATCAATGATCTTGATTTTTAGATTCTAATACATTTTTCTTCACAAGAGAAAACATTTACCATGGACTAAGAATGCTCTGTTATTTTTGCATTTGAATAGTCTGGGGACCATTGTAACTTGCAGTCACATAGATTCTGTGATTTTTAATTCCTTTGGTTTTATGGATAGTGGCTACAGGACACTGAAATATTTTATTTTGTTGTTGTACTTCATGAGTGTGAAAAGGGTTGTTTACTCTGCTCTTTTTGATTACTTCCATTAAATCTCTAGATATCACTGGGAAATAACAGATTTTCTATGTTCAATTACTGCAAAATTCCTGTCATGTGGTAAGGAATTATGGCCCATTGTTAAGAACTGATCTATTATTGTACAAGCTTGTTTCTTAGACAGTCCAGTTGTTGTTTTGGCCAATGCATCGATCAGACTGTAAAATGATTTTTTTCTTCACCTTCTTTCAATATAGAGTAATTTGATGTCACAAAATGAATAATGAAGGAAACTACTGTATTTCCATTGCTTCTTGCCTTCCAGTACTTTCATCTTCATGTACAGTCGATCCCCCCCTATAATGCGGTAGATACGTTCCACTTTATAAGAATTTCGTGTTGTAGGAATCCTCAAATACATGAGCCAATCACAGCCCAACACGTGTGCAGTTTACGGACTACGGCTGTTTGAAAGGTTTCTTCCATAAAATTAATCAATTCTAGACTAATTTGACTCAACATTTCCAAAATACATATAATTTTTTGGGAATAATCTGTATAATCTATGCTATAAACAAAAAATTGTAGGATTACTTACCGAGTGTGCACCGTTTGACCACGCCATTGCTTAAGCTTGTTTTCGTCACGGATCAGTGCACCAAACAGCAGCCGTGTTTTCTGATAAGTTATTTTTCTGTGAAAAATTCGTTGAACTTTGGAGACATCATTAATAGAAATAATTTTTAAGACTGTTGAATAAGAAATGTTTTTTTTACAAGAAATGTATAAAATTATAGTACTGTATTAGACTTACAGTACCTAATTTAGGCCTATATACTGTACAGACAATAGTAAACTCGACTTATCCGCCTAAATTCTTCGTAGCGTGTAAGTAGTTCGGCTGCTCATTCACTATTGGTCCAGATTCGACCAATCCTGTCGCGACATGAGTCGACGATGACGTTTTACCACATTTTACGAGTCTCTTTTAGCGTCTTTATACGAATACAGTCACGATTTTTTCGCCACAATATATGAATCCGCATTATATGAACCCACATTATAGGGGGGTCTACTGTACTTCATATGGCTGACTCCTGTAGCTGGTTACGTGATACAGTGGTTGTAGCAAGAATACCGCCTTTAGAAAACTGAAAAATGTATCAACTATGAGGAACAAACAATACCTGTTGAATGTCACAACAGATAACAATAATGCTTGATGTCTTCTTAGTAATCTCAGCATCCTTTCTTAGCATTTTATAGCTTATTGCTGCCTTAAAGTGATGTTTTTTTTACTTTTCTCCTCTATATTTTTCTCTGTTCAAGGATCCTTGACAGCCTTAAGTTGATTAAATACGTCATCATACAAACAAGGCTTCCTGAAGGGGAGATGAAATTCCATGTTGAAAATGTGGCAATAAATCCAATACTTTTTTCAATTAAAATAAAATATATATGCTTCTGCCATTCAAATAAATTAAGAGAAATTAAAGTACATTATTGCTTCACTTACACTGCTATTGTATGCTTTTTGAAAATCAGCAAGCATCCTCTGCAGAGTGAAGTCTAGGTTCAAATATTGTTGTCTTTTAGTACTTCCATGAGAATAATGGTTTTCCATTAAAGAGAAACCTCTGATGTGTTCCTGAATATTTTCCTTCATAAATGTCACCTCTAAGCCTTTAGATTTCTGGTACAGTTTGAGTATAATAGATGAATGAACATTTTCGATTATTTGTCCAGAATCTGCTTCAGGTTCACTATCGTTCCAAATATGGAATGTTAAGAATTTTAAATGTTTTTGAATAAAAATTGCCTTAACCAGTAATGAATTGATGATAAAGATTTGAATGAATGTACCCCAAAACTGTGTTTTAATGCTGTGGGAGAACTATTAGGGAAATTAGGGAATAAAATATAATTATTGATAAATATTATTATTGAATAAATTATTGAATTATTATTTATTATTAATTATGAATTATTAATTATTGAATAAATATTATTAGGGAATAAAATATAATTATTGATGTGTATGGTCTATACAAAAAAAGGATTAAGGAACATAAATATAAACATAAATGAAAGAAAATTGATTATATGTTTATTAATTTTTAAAATCTTTTTGTATTTTGTTATAATTCATTTATTTTAAATACAAATGCATCGATTTAATTTATTAAATATGTAGTATTCTTTGTAGTATTTGTGTTTAGTAGTTAAATTATTTTGACCCAATTGAATTTGAATATTTTTGAATCATTCCTTTATTATCTCTGCTCTAAATAAGTACTCTATTTTTCTGAATGAGCCAGACTAATTGTTCAGAGTACATATATTTTTTTTCTGAACAAGGGTCTGAAGTAGCTAGCTAGATTGCACACTTTTTAGTTGGACTAACTCTTCTAGATTGCACACTTTTTAGTTGGACTAACTCTTCGAATATTTCAAATTATTCGAAAATGGTTAAAAAATTTTGTAAAATTTTGCTAATAGAGATAATTTGTTAAGAAGATTATTTATTTGTAATCTTGATATGCTGTGTCAAGGCAATTTGGGCCGCCATATGCCTATTGCTGGGGTAGGCAGGACTCTTAAGCCTTGGTAGACAACCTGCCTAGGAGAAGGAAAACTCCAGAAACCGTGAGGAAGGCAACAGGAAACCACCTCAGCTATACCTCCCTTGTTAATGGAAAGCAGAAAACCTATTTATCATACTGGCAAATATGGGTCTCATCTCCAAGAGAAAGGTGTCATGCCTGGCAGGGGAAGTTATGGGTCTTCCCAGGTCGTCACCACACGAAACCCCCATAGGAAGACCCCCATAGGAAGAATTCAAATAGGAACATGGAATGTAAGAACCATGCTTTGACCTGGTAAGTTGGAAAATGTCAAGAGAGAAATGAAGAGGCATAATTTGGATATTCTTGGGCTTAGTGAAGTTAGATGGGAGGACAATGGTGATTTTTTTAGCGATGAATTCAGGGTTATTTATTCTTGTGGAACTAAAGGAAAGAATGGTGTAGCATTTATTTTAGGTGAGAAGGTAAAAAATTCAGTTGAAAGAATTGAATGCAGAGGTGACAGAATTTTAATGATTAAAATAAAAAGCGATCCCATGGATATGATGATATTTCAAGTATACATGCCTACTGGAGACTATGACGATGAAGAAGTAGAAGAAATTTATGACCAAATTGAAGATATAATAGAAAATGATAAAACTAAGAAATGCCTAATTGTTATGGGAGACTGGAATGCATCTGTAGGAGGAGGAGATGGAAAAATTGTGGGCAAGTTTGGGCTAGGAAATAGGAATGAAAGAGACGAACGACTAGTTGAATTTGCTACCAAGCATCAATTAATAGTTGGTAACACATGGTTCAAACAATCCAAACGTCGACTATACACTTGGGAAAATGCCCGGAGACATTGGAAGGTATCAAATAGATCAGGGGTGGCCAACTTTTATGTACAGAAGATCTACTTTTTATCTTAAAAATGTGTCGCGATCGACTTGTTGTCTTAGGGTTAGTCTAGGTGATGAGGGGGTGGTGTGAAATGCATACTATGTTTAAATAGGTAAGATAAGCCACAATTTAATTTGAAACATGAAGAAAAGGTACATTGTAAACAGAATAAAAATTGAAACTCAACTTTTGAGGACCACCACTTCACCCCTCCTCTTTCTACCGTGTCCCGACTACTCCCTCTGTCCCTCTTCCCACCTTTTTTTTTGGTTTTACGATCCTTTGTCTACATTTCTTATTTCCCTTTTACAACTGTACGCAAATGAATATCACATGGACCGACAAAACCGCATCTGAGGAAAGATGCGATGGTCCAATATCACTACATTTGTGTTTGCGCGTTACGTTTGGTTACAAGTGTAACACATTAATTCAAGACATCGCAAGCGATCAACCAAAATTGGCTTCGTGATCGACAGGTCGATCGCGATTGACTTGTTGGCCACCCCTGAAATAGATTATATTCTTATTCAAAGTCGTTTTAGGAATGCAGTCAAGATAATTCGGACATATCCAGGAGCAGATGCAGATTCTGATCACAACTTATTAACTGCAGATATTGTGATGAAATTTAAAAAAGTTTTGAGAGCCAAAAGAATAAAAAGATGGAATTTGGAAAAGCTAAATGGAAATACTGGATTAAATTTTAAAGAAAACCTGGAATATAAATTAAAAGAACTTCCATATGACTTTGACTGTGAGTTTGACCCAAACGAAAAGTGGAAAAGAATCAAAGATACAATAAAGAAATTGGCTGAAATTTTTCTTGGATATGTAAATGGTGTTAGAATAAAAAAACCTTGGGTTACTCAAGAAATGATTGAGAAAATGGATGAAAGAAGAAATTGGAAAAATATAAATAATGAAAAAGGGAGAATGATGTACAAGAAGCTAAATAATGAATTGAGGCGTGAAACTGGAAAAGCTAGAGAAGCTTGGTTAAGTAAGGAATGTGAGGAAATCGAAGAACTGAACAAAAAAGGCAGATATGATCTATCATACAAAAAAGTCAAAGAACTAACAAATGATCGCACCCACCAAATTCTGAGTATTGAAGACAAAGATGGAAAAGCACTTTTAACCCCAACTGATATAATGGGCCATTGGAAAGAATATATTGGAGATCTCTATGGAGAGAACACCAAACCTAAAGAGTTAAAATTGGAAAAATCTTCTCAAATAGCTAATGATGAAAGAGGACCTATTATCATGAAAGATGAAGTTGGATTGGCAATTAAAGAATTGAAAAACAAAAAGTCAGAAGGAGTAGATGGAATACCAGCTGAATTTCTAAAAGGGTTAGGCAAGGAAGGAATCGAGAAAATAACAGACTTATGCAATCTCATATATAAAACAGGAGAATGGCCTGAAGACTTTGCTCAAAGTATTTTGATACCTATAC